CGCCGACAATGTGACAATGGCAGGCGATTTCCGCACTCAGGGTCAGAAGAAGAACGCCGACCTTGCGCGCGAAGTGGGATAATTAAAAATGAATTAATATAGCTGTCGTGGCGGTGGTGGGTTCTTCTGTGATTGGCTGCAACCCAGCGAGAGCGGTCTCTGCGGCCCTGAAGACAACAGGGTCCCATTTTTTAATATTTTTTTATTTATAGTGTAATTATCTGTTTTATCCAAAATTGGTATTATCTGATCGATCTGAACGAAGTTGAGGCCCTGCAAGTGGAAACAGATATATTGATTTTGGGAGGTTCTTTACAAGAAGTCTCAACAATTTCAAAATTTTCACAAAAATGACTCCAAATATTTGAATTATTTTATGCGATAGAGCAAAGGACGTGTATAAAAATGGCGGTAATCCCATTTTCATTGAATTCTCTGTATTGTCGAAAACGGCAAATAGTTTTATCGGCATGTTCCTACAACTACAAATTGAACATATAGATTTTTATTTACTTCACGAGAAAAGAAAGTATTGTAATCGTGCACCGGATATCGGCAATTTTTCGACAAAAACTCTTTAGCCGTGCCCTGGTAACAAAGAGTTGCAAAAAATGTTTTGTGGGTACCGGCAAACCGTCTCTATGTCTGTGGTCAACTTTAGCGTCTAAAACGTTCAAACCATTTTCTCCAAAATTGATATTCTCTGACAGATTTTAAGGTACTCGTGGCCCTATTAGTTTAAAACGAATATTTTATGTTTTGGCGGATTTTTACATGAATCGTCAATTACATTTTCAAAATTTCCTGAAAAATGGCTCCAATTTTTGTTTATTAAACCGCCGATATCGTAAAGAACGCTTAAAAGAATGGCGCATGTTTCATTTGGGTTTAAATCCCTAAATTTTGGAAAATTGTAAAAGTTAAAAAAAATTACGCGACTTCCTATAACTACATTGAAGATATTATGTCCGTAATAAAAACAGCTGCCCCCAAAAAGATCTTGAAATAAGATACTGCACAATTGTTCGAACATGTGAGTCGTTTTTCTGTAGGTTTGCTTGAAATATGAACAATTTAATCAATTATTTCTCAAAAAAACGGATTTAAATTTTCCTCGTCGTAGGAATTAAAGAACGGTAAAAAAAATGGTGCTGTTCTTATTTTAGGCACACTGAAAGGGAATAATTGGATTGTTTACTTAGTCTGATATTGACATTTTTATTAATGAACTTTGTAGTGTAATCTTTAGACAAACGTATTTTTTACTGTATTGATATTTTGGCAGTAGAAAACTTTTCATTAAATTTATTCATTATTTATTGATCTTATGATTTTATGAACTTAACATTTTGTTGATGAATGCATATGCACCCGTTACTTCGCAACTAGAAGAAATTTCACATGTTTGATTACACGCAAATCTAGAGAATGATTCTGAAAATCCAGTGGTGTATAAATCTCATTTTAAGTAAACATTTTTTTTTGGACTTATCAGCTTATTCATCAGGGTCAAAGATTTATTTCTCGTTCTTCCATCACTAGTGCAAGCAAGACTACGATCAATCACATAACTGATATAAATTTGTTCATGCATTATGTTGCAGCTTTGCAGTGCTATTTCATTGTTTTGCAATTCCCTAGAGGCATTGCGCCGGAAGCTGCGTTCGACAATTTGTCAGCAAATGCATTTACGCTCGTGTGGACGTCTCGCCCTACAATAGTGAATGACTTGTGGGACGTTCGTGTTACTATATCTGGCGACAGTTGGAATCACAACAAAGAAGGTAGTCGATAAACAGAGACCACTCAGCCAGGAAATGGCCCTGTTAAGCGCTAGCGCTCACTTTATGTGCTTGTTTCAATGGTTGAACAGCTCGCGTGTGAAAATGACGTCTAGTAGACCATCCATTCAAAAAGGGAATATCTGGGCATGTGTTTGTTGTCGAGGACGTGCTTTAGAGAATATGTGAATTTTTTTATTTTTATATTTATTTAGAGAATATGTGAATCGTTATGCATGCTATTTATGTGGTCTCATGGGCATTGTTTGGACCGCGTAGACCTAGGAAAGTCTGAATGAGAAGAGAAACTTTGACGAGTTGCATTTAAAAAATAAAATGTTTTCGACTCAATGCAAGAATGGTGTTAATAATTATAGAAATAATGATCGAGAACCTTCAGAGAATAAGTCAGTTTGAACATGATTTGTATAGTAACACGAACATGATTTTGACACGAACATGATGATGACACGAACACGTACTTGCCATACAAAATATTCTATAGGAAAATCTGAAATACAAAATTGTATACGTTTATGAATGTCTTATCAGCAATCACTGGTGATTTTGATGCGTTTTCAGTTCGCACTTTCTTTCTTTATACCCTTCTCGTTTCTCAACTCCACAATCTATTGTTCACGTGCCTGTCTACACCAAACTTAGCAGACTGATTGCGGACATCATCTATGAAAGGAGTTTTGGCCCTCCCACGACGTTTTACTTATCTTTCCTGTTACCTGACGTGGAATTGCGCAACCATCGGCATTGTATTTTCTCTGAGAAATTGTGTTGGCTGGAAGTAGCATTGTGGAGGTAATAAATAATTCTTTTTTGCGAGTAGAGTGCAAACCATCGATTAGGCTGTTTAGTTGATCGTAGAGTAACGTCGATTTGGCAGTTCGCTCTGTGGCTGTTTAAGCTCTCACAAATCTTAAATTGTTGTGTAATTTCAGGCAAGAAAGTAGTTCACCCGCTATGGTACACGGCAGATTTATTAACTAGATCATATTTTCGTTCGATCAGTTCTCGCCATAATTCGAGTTATAATATTTCATTGTTTGGTTCTGGATGCACTGAGAAACACAAGATGCGCCTCGGGATGTAATATCGAAAAGAGAAACGATCGTTAAACATTTGAATGTGCATGGGAACAAGATAAGTAGACTTTGTGTCAGTGGAATTAACAAGGATCTGAACTTGAGTCATGACGAGTTAAGCTGTATTCGTCCTTTGCCATTACAACCCACACTTTGTAGGAATTCAAGTGTCGTATCG